ACCACGAGGACTGGACGACACCATGTAATTATTATTCTCGCTGACAAAAGAGTTTTTATTTCCTAGGTCGTTTATGATAAAAAATCGATAGAGGGGTGTTGATTGTAGAGAAGTTACAGACATATGTATGTTGTTGAATTAGTAGCAGATTTACAGGGAGAGGGGGTGGGGGGAGGGATTTTCCAAATCTAGGACGCCAGCCATTACAAATTATCCTCCTAGTTTAAACCTGGTAACATTGGTTTCGCAACACAACATCATACATACACATGGCTCATAAGAAAACCCAACATGAAATACACAGGCTTCTCAAACAAATCAAGTGAATTGATCCGAGGACTGACCCAAGTAAGTGTCCACAGGGATGTAAATCTCAGGCCACTGGTGATAAACGTTTCACTAAAAATAAGACTAAACAAAATAGGGGAAACATTCCAAGATAAAAAGGTGAATTGGTCAATAATCTTTCCTTTATATGTTTGATATAAGTTTATTACCTCCATGAAAATAAGTCTCTGCTGTAGCTGGACGGTGACCTGTGGCTTGCAGTCGTAGGTTTGATCCTTGATTTAGCACCTTCTCCACTTTGTGGCCGTGGGGTTACTTTGGGTATCCAACTTTCGCCCCACAAGACAGACCTCTGCTAAATGTAAATCATCATGTACTTTACTGAAATGGCTAGATGGTGCAAAAATTGGTAGTTCTCTCTCTCTCTCTCTCTCTCTCTCTCTCTCTCTTGTTTGATGTAAGTTTATTTACCTCTATAAAACTAGATGATATTCCAGAAGTTTTACGTCTTCACATAGAGATATTCAAAATAAATAATTATTCATCTGATCAAGGTCCGAGAATATTCCTGGATGAAAGGATGATGATATTCACAAAATAAATAAATAATATAAAATAACCTTTCAGTTGATGTTAGTGAAATATTAATATACTATAACTTTTTGATAGTCTAAATGTCAGAAGATTATATTTGAGCTGAGACGAAACCTCATTGATATAAACACTACCTCTTTGATAGTCTCTTTGTCTAAATGTCATAAAAATATCTTTGAGCTTGTACAGAAATAAATGAAATGGGGTTTAACGTCCAACTGTTCTGCTCCTAACCTGGGCTAATGAAGACGGGCATACGCCATACAGTGTGCAATGAGGGAAATTTTGCCCGGGCAGCGGCACTACGGCCTACTCTTATATCGAATTACAACTGCCAAGGGATCTTTTACGTGCATGCCAATGTGTACACAGGACCTCATTAGCCCAGTATAGGAGCAGAACAGTAGGACGTTAAACCCCATTTCATTTCATTTCATTTCATTTCACATTTATACATGACAAGGGATAGGATCACCTGCTTAATCTTGTAGTTTTTATACAGGTCCTCAGGTTTCCGCACAGTGCTAAACACCACACGACTTTATGGAAATAAAATTGTACCATGTGTTAGTCCTCTCTTAATTTATAGCTGCGGCGAAGGCAGTATTTTAGGTTTGTTCTATTATGATGACCTCAAGGCCAAGGACAGTACGTACGTGACATGAGTAATATCACCTGTGTAACCTTGTGGGTTTCCTCCGGGTCCTCCAGTTACCTCCCTTTGTTCAAGGCAATTTAAACAGCAAGCCTCAAAGAGGACAGGGAGACACAGTGGCTCAGCGAGTAAGACGTTGCCTCGATAACCAGGTTGTCCAGTGTTTGATCCCTGCATTGGCTGAGAAAATTCATCAGGATTTTCAGGCGTGGTTCCCCCTTTGTCAGTGACGTAGGACAGAGGGCCTGGCAAGGGACAACGTACGAGTCGTATAGTCGTACGAATGGTAAGATTTGTTATGGAATGAATGTGAAAGAGATCAGGGTTATACGCGAAATTAAATAATACTTGGGTTATCCATTATCGGATGCAAAACTACTGAATAATCTAGGCTACTAATTACCAATCCTTTATTGGATGTAAAAATACTGGAATGATCTTGGCTACTATATAACTGCCAATCCATTATTTGATGTAAAAATATTTGGGTAATAAACATCGACAGCATCAATATTAATCATAGGATTTTGTGAGCATTAGTCCATGATGTAGAAAATGTCATAAATAAATGTGATTAATTGAAATTCTGTTCTCTTATGATAACATTAAATTACCAGCTGAACTGATCACTCTCTCCGCGAACGAACAGTTTCACAGAATAATTTCTCCCAAAACATGAAATAGCTCCCACGTAAATGAGATTGATTATTAGATGTTATAGAAAATATTGTAGAGTTATTTTAGTTATATTATTTTAATTTATAAAACTTTAAACTGTAGATGAATTAAAGGAATTGGAATTCTAGTTTAAAGGTGCTCTATGTAAGAGATAGGGGGGTTGGATGGTCGAATGGTTAGCATGTGCGCGCTGTATGCCTTAACAGAAGTTTATACAGAGTTGAAACGTCAATATCATATATTATCAAAAATCAGCAGAGGTCATAAAGTTCTACGCACCTAAATCATCGTTCAATTTGATGAAAGTTATAGAATACTTTGTCACATGGATTTCGATTCCCCGGTTGTACGTGAGAAGGAGTAGGGTAGCATGTCCAACCTCTTGGGTTTTCTCTGGGTCCTCCGCTTTCCTCCCCCTACTAATGACTCCTACGCACAAGCAAATTATTGAAACAGAATTAAACATATGTTAGTCCCAAAATGACCTAGTTTGTGTCTAGTGGACGTTAAACCCCATTTCTCTCTCTCATGTAAGAGATAAATATGCCTCTTTCTTTCTGGTTTCAAATGTTATATAGATTGTTATTTAGATATTTATTAACATGACAATACCACAATACAATATATTCTCTAGAGGATTAGGTATGATTTTAGGTAGATTAGAACAGCACAGCCATTTATAGAGTTTAAAGATACATTATGGGAGATTAGATAAAGAGCTGGCAGTTCTTACTATAATAGTTAAAAACTAGATACTGTAAAGAGAATTTCATGAATATTTCAGTCAAATTGATCCACTCTGAACTGAGATTTTAGCTATTGAATTTTCGGCCTAGCCTCGATCATCATTACTAAAGTCGGTACGATAAAAAACATAGTCTCGATTATCCATTTCATAATTAAATTATGAATGGAAGTCAAACAGGAAATCGGAACCTAATCCAATAAACATCACAGGCTAGCGATGCCATCGAGAGTTGATTATGGCCTGGATAAGTTAATTAATAGATCTGCAATAGACAGATTTAGATCTTGCATAATGTATGTTTAACTATAAAAATGATAATATTAAAGAGAGAGAGAGAGAGAGAGATGGGGTTTAACGTCCACTCGACACAAACTAGGTCATTTCGGGACTAACATATGGTTCAATTTTATTTCAATAAATTGCTTGTTCAGGTTGTTCCATTCACAAGAGAGAGAGGGAGAGAGAGAGGGAGGTCATTTCAGGACCAACATATGGTTCAATTTTATGTCCATAATTCACTTGCGCGTAGGGGTCTTTAGCAGTGGGAGGAAACCGGAGGACCCGGAGAAAACCCACGAGGTTGGACAGGCGACCCTACTCCTTGTCACATACAACCGAGGATGATGATATTAAAGCCGCTTATATCATCATTTACATTTTTCAGGACAATAAAATATAACGTAATTGATTATTTAACATTTAATTTAGAAAACAAAATCAGAATATCCTGGCTTGCATTCAATCAGTTTAAAAAGAGAATCATCAAATGATTTTTATCCAACATCGCTAAATTCTGCTGTCCAGGCAAAATTTCCCTCATAGCACACTGTATGGTGTATACCCATGTGCATAACCCCCGTCGGAGCAGAACAGTAGGACGTTAAACCCCATTTCATTTCATTTTCATTTTCATTTTATTTTATTTCATTTCTCTTGTCAAATGTCGATCAGCCACTGCAAAATTTCTCTCATAGCACACTATATGGCGTATACCTATCTTCGTTAGACGAGTTCGGAGCAGAACAGTAGGACTTAAACCCAGTTTCATTTCATTTTCGATACATTTTATTTCATTTCATTTCTCTGTCAAATGTCGATCAGCCACTACAAGTACAATCTTTATTATTATATACAATATCACACATTGATCCCCCAGAGCCATTTACCCACTTTAACGAACTAATATTTGCCGAGCAATTCACAGAAAAACCTTCATCATGACTTTAAAACAAACGAACCTAACGGATGGTTAGAGTCAGTGTCATCAATACAATAGACATTAATTTGATTTCTAACTCAGATAATATTTGATTATTATTATTTTATTTACCTAATATATTATCATGACCTTTCACCTTTCACCTTTTGATAGAAATGTACAATCATTAACCCTTTGGCAGCCATTGATAAAATGTACAACCATTAACCCCTTCACAGCCAATGTATGTACATACTTTTTGCATACTTTTATTGGTGTGAAATTCTTATCTTATTTATGAGTGGTTATTATTGCACGATCAACTGTTGTGATTTATTTCAGGAATATTGTACAATCTTAATGAAAATATCTATCTGATTAAAACACGGATCCTATTTCGTTTTGTTTTTTTTATAGTTCAAAATTTCGTTTTACTTGTCTTTACTACACAAGGATCTGGAAGTGTTATTATCATTGGTGTGTTCAGAATGATGTGAGGGGTTAGCCAATGAAATGGTCTGTTACGGCGAGCTTTTGTCGTGTTTTGCACGGAACTGTGGGTAATCCACTAGTAACATCAATGCTGATTGGTTAATCAAATGTCTGACGTCATAGGGTCAAAAGTCGCTCATATGACCTCTGACGCGACCTATCGCTACAACCGGTCAGATCTTCATGTAGTGTAGGCCATCGAAAGTATAAAAAAACGAAACGAAATGTAGATCTGTATTTTAATTGGATTGCAAAAATGAAAAACGAGGAGAACAACAAAACATTCTTTTGAACTTTTATTTGTGTTAAATTAAAACTATTTATTTATTTATTTGTGTATTTTTCAGACAATGATATCGATGACTTGGAGATGCAGGTTGTTAGGTATAAACCGGAAGGGCTTGATATACTCTGCCGAAACACAAAGTTTTCGCGCAAAGAATTACAGATAATGTACCGAGGATTTAAACAGGTAGGCACACTTTTATACTAGGGAAGGGGGAGGGCTGGGTCCCTTGATGTATAGGGAGGGACACATCTAAACTAGGACTGGGGGAGGGCTTGGTCCCTTGATGTATAGGTAGGCAAATATTTATACTAGGGAAGGGGGAGGGCTTGGACCCTTGATGTATAGGTAGAAACACTTATATACTAGAACAGTTGGAGGGGGCGGGGGATGGCTTGGACCCGGGATGTACAGGTAGGAACACATCTATACTAGAGCAGGGGGAGGGGCGATGGGGAGGGGGTAGGGAGAAAGGGAGGGATTTAAACAGGTAAGAACTAGGGCGATTCACCCATTAGCGATTCACCTTCCACAGTATTGTAGTTTCCAAGGAATTTCTTTAAAAGTATGGAATAGACAAAACATTAAACTCCATTCCGTGTCTGGTAATTTAAGTTTTATTTTAACTGATATTCTATCTCAGTCGTGTACATTTGTATAACGCTGTGACATTTAAAATAATCAAGATGTCAGCCCCCACAAATTTACATGTAAAACAAGATGTCAGCCCCCACAAAGTTACATGTAAAACAAGATGTCCGCCCCCATAGTTACATGTAAAACAAATTAAACACACACATTGTTTGTCAGGGGGTTTTGATTGCCGAACGGTTAGTGCATGCACGTTTTATCATAAGGTCTGTCATTGAGTCAACTGGCGTAGTTTAGATTCCCCGGTTGTACGTGACAAGGAGTAGGGTCGCCTGTCCAACCTCATGGATTTTCTCTGGGTCCTCCGGTTTCCTCCCACTGCTAAAGAACCCTACGCCCAGGCAAATTATTGAAATAAAATTAAATCATATGTTAGTCTGGAAATGACCAAGTATGTGTTGAGTGGATGTTAAACCCTCTCTCTCTCTCTCTCTCTCCCCCCTCTCTCTCTCTCTATCTCTCTCTCTTACTGTTCTAACTTTAAAAGACTTATTGCTACTAAAGTTCCGTCTTCATTAGCCCCGTCAGAGCAGAACAGAACGGTAGGACCTTAAACCTCATTTCATTTCATTTGCTGCTAAAATTCAGATTTATTTAGATTGATACATTAGAGTAGGTGTTCGGGGTGGGCGATATTTTTATTCATATATTTGGGTAGGCGGGGAATATATTTTTTTTTCTGGGAATGTCAATAAATCAGTCTAACATCTGTTAGTGTGTTTTCTATAACACGGTTTTATTTGATGCTGAGACAAGATATTTAGTCTAAGACATTTTATATAATTCATTCAATTCTCTCGTCAGGTGCACAGTGGAGGTTTCGATAATTAAGGAAATTGCGTTGTTCTTTAGATGAGACAAAATAAAGGGCTTCACGCCCACTTGACATAAACTGGGGGCTTCATAGCAAATTAACTCAACAAACCATTCACAAGGTCATTCCGGGACTATCAAAATGCATTTTATTTATTATTAAACCACATCCGTGTTGTGTGGTCCCTTTAGCATTGTGTGGAAATCAGTGAAGCATAAATAGGAAGGAGAGAAAGAGAAATGGGGTTTAACTTCCACTTGACACAAACTAGGTCATTTTGGGACTAACATATGGTTCAATTTTATTTCAATAATTCCCTTGCGTGTTTGACAACTCCCTTTAATTTCCTTTTCCATTTAATTTCCCAGTGTATACATTTACGCGCACGTAAAAGATCCCTTGGAAAGTGAAATTCGATATAGGATTGGGCTATAGTGCTGCCACCCGGGCAAAATTTCCCTCAGAACAATATATTACATATGCCATCTTTATTAGCCCAGTAAGAGCAGTAGGATGTTAAAACCCATTTCATTTCATTTGGATTTACAATTAGAATGAGTAAATGGTTAAAAAAGAATATTGATATAATATACAATGATTCGACATGTGTTTGTTCTGGAAAATAATACGATCACACTTGTAAAAATGTTTATATAATAAAACCAATGATTGTTTTTTATATAAATTGTGTTGTGTTTTTATTATGCTCTTTTGCCAAATATCACGAGAGCAGATGTTTTCTGAAATAAGATGATTTGAACAAGATGTATTCCTTCTGTCACTATTATTAGCTCTCAGTCCTTACCTCACTAAAACTAATGTGGTTTCCGTCGAGCCACGATTTCTGGAAGTGACTTGTCTGATATTTCAGATGATTGTATTGTTTGTCGGAACACTTGTACGATAATTATTGTTTCTGCGTCTGTTTCTGACAGATCCCGTTTCTCCGGTGAAAGAGAGCTGAAAATAATTTTATTCTTTTGTTATCGTTCTGAAAGAGATTTACAAATGAAATGGGGTTTAACATCCTACTGTTCTGCTCCTATACTGGGCTAATGAAGACGGGCATACGCCATACAGTGTGCTATGAGGCAAATTTTGCCCGGGCAGCGGCACTATCGCCTACTCTTATATCGAATTCCAACTGCCAAGGGATCTTTTACGCGCATTCCAATGTATACACGGGACCTCAGTTTTTCGTCTCATCCGGAGGACTAGACAGCTGTCCTTGTCAGGCCCTCAGTCCTGCATCACTGACAAGGTGGAACCACCCCGGAAAATCTGGATGAACTTTCTTGGCCAATGCAGGGATCAAACGAAAGAGATTTACTCACTTTCGAAAACAAATCTGAAAACACGGTCACAGATTTTCAGGCAAACATTGCTCTTCTATCTGTACCAGGCATACGCCATACAGTGTGCTATAAGGGAAATTTTGCCCACACATTAACAACGTCGCCAATGTAGACACAGGACCTTGATTTTCCATCCCATCCGAACAACTAGACATCTCTCCTTGTCAGACCCTCTGTTCTGGACCGCTGACTACTGGAAAGCATACACAATACAATGAAATTTTGGCAAGGGGTGGGGGGTAGCGTTCTTCTTGTCTGCATCAACCGAGCTAATGAAGACCAGAAAACGTCATGCAGTGTGCTATTTATGATGGACATTTTTTCCTGGCCATCAGAACTATATCGTCTTTCAAATTTCAAATGTTGCTGGTTCTTGTACATGTGCATATACATACACATGACCTCATTAATGTGTGCTTCAACATGCACACAGGCCCTCATTAACGTGTGCTTCAACATGCACACAGGACCTCATTAACATGCTCTTCAACATGCACACAGGACCTAATTAACGTGTGCTTCAGCATGCACATAGGACCTCATTAACATGCGCTTCAACATGCACACCAGACCTCTTTAAGGTGTGCTTTAACATGCACACAGGACCTCATTAACGTGTGCTTCAACATGCACACAGGACCTCATTAACATGTTCTTCAACATGCACACAGGACCTCATTAACGTGTGCCCCCACATGCACACAGAACCTCATTAACGTGTGCTTCAACATGCACACAGGACCTCATTAATGTGCTCTTCAACATGCACACAGTACCTGATTAACATGCACTTCAACATGCTCACAGGACCTCATTAACGTGTGCTTCAACATGCACACACGACCTCATTAACGTGCGCTCCAACATGCACACAGGACCTCATTTTTTTCATTATTCCAAACAATACTTTAACATTTATCGAGGTATATCTCATTAAAATCTTTATGGGGAATGTCAAATCTTAATTCATTCCAAGAAAATAAAAAATATATTGAACTGCAGACAAAGAGATCTGTGGACCTTCATCCAGGTTGGTTTGGGGTGGTGAATCGCTCGTTTGATGTTTCTTCTGCTTTTCCTGTTTTGCCAAATATCTTTAGATCCTCGAGTAGGAAATGGATTTGACGGAGAAATCATCCTCGTGTAGGAAATGAATTTGACGGGGAATTCATCCTCCAATATCTCATTATAAAACATACTGAAATCGTCAACTAGAAAAAAAACCCAGAATTGCACAAGTTTTCATCACATATTGCAATATTTCTTTTGACGCTCCCAGAATAAAAAAAAAACTGTTTTTTGTTCTCCGTGTGTTTGTTTGCAACGTTTCTAGCGGAATAACTACAAGAATTAAATGATGTGTAAACATTATAAAATGGTATATGCTGTTAATGTTTTACGCGTTGTTTAAGGAGTGTGGGTAATTACACCTAACGATGGCATTGATTTTTGATTCAGGATGAAAGTTTCTCACAAAAATTCTGTCGTTGATTTCAATGTTTTTATTGAATGTCGAAGGGTAAATAAAGTAAGAAACATGACCGACGTGATTCTCATATATAAAGAAATCGTGCCTTCTTGCTCGTTTCTAGAAATATGTTAGCGAGGAAAAACTCTCCTGGTATTGATCGCTAGGCGACCATCTTTAAAGTGATTAATTTGGTTGCTATGACAGCATGGTATGTGTGTCATTGTAAAGAGCTGTCAGGACCTGATAGCTGTCAATTCAATAAATTTTCTTGAAGAAACTGAATCACGTGAAAACCTGGGGATATGAAATGAACAATTGTGATTCTCCGTTACCACGGTTATTTTCGCTCCAATTATACTTTATTAAAATAGAATTTCTGTAGCATGTTTAAAACCAGAATTATTATAAATCTCAAATTTTATTTTTATAGAGGTATAAAGATCATTTTTTATTTAACATGATTTGCTGAAATTAGATTTTGTACAAAAATTGAGACCCATCTACTGATCCATGTTTGAGATGTATGCGAAGGGGGGTTGGATGGCTGAATGGTTAGCGTGCGCGCGCTGTATCATAAAGTCTGTCATTGAGTCGACTGGCATGGTTTCGAATCCCCGGTTGTAGGTGGCAAGGAGTAGGGTCGCCTGTCCAACCTCGTGGGTTTTCTCAGGGTCCTCCGGTTTCCTCCCACTGCTAAAGACCCCTACGCGCAAGCGAATTATATAAATAAAATTAAACCATATGTTAGTCCAAAAATGACCTAGTTTGTGTCGAGTGGACTTTAAACCCCATTTCTCTCTCTCTCTTGAGATGTATGCGAGTTGTAGGGGTTATAAGACGCTGGCTGACTAGCCAAGAGGTCTTCATCACTGGTGCAATAAAGAAGGTCTGGTGT